CCTGTAACAGGGGCCATTGTTGTCTATTAATGAACCTGACTCATGGGCTCTTTATAAAACTCATTGGGGAATTTGGTTGGTTGTAGTGATAAGCATGGGCAAGGTTTCCATGTTGGCAGCTTACATTTATCTTTCTGTGTGTGGAAGCAGAGTCAGCTGTTAGGATTCAGCACTCTTGACGTATAGTACTCTATAGTATAGCAGCTAAGCAAGGGGCTGAACGGTGGCTCAGCGGTTCAAGAGCACTGGCTGTGCTTCCAGAGGACCTGGGTTTGCTTCTCAGCACCCACATGGCAGTTAAGACAACCATCTGTAACTGCAGTTCCAGGGAATCCGATGCCCTCTTCTGGCCTCCTGGGGCACTGCATGGAAGTGGTGCACAGACATGCAGGCAGGCAAAACTCACATATGCATAAAATAAAAATAAGTAGATCTTAAGAGCTAGTCAATATAACCCTTATTGTTATTTTTACTAAACTTGTGCCATTAATTATAGAATGAATTAGTCCATAGTGCAGACATTTAGAAGATAGGAGTTAAACACCTTAACCCCAGTAGGCTGCCGCATCTCCTCTGACCATTGTGTGTCTTTCCAGCCTTTCCTATGCATGGGGTTTCCATAGCTGTAATGCTGATGTATTTTGTAAATAATCAGTATTTAAAATTTTATGGCTGTTTATGGCTTATATGTACAATCCTAGCACTTGGGAGATTGAGGCAAGAGGATTGCTGTGGGTTTAGGTCATCCTGGGATCCATGGTGAGTTCCAGGATAGCCTGAGCTACAGTGTGAGATGCTGTATTTAGAAGGAGAGAGGGAGGGAGAAGGAGAGGACTCATTGGGTCAGCAACAAATGAGCAAGGTATCACGTTTTCCCATCTTTGTAACCCCGACTGTTTGTACTTGTTCAGTACTCTCTGAAATAGATGTGGCATGATTAGTTGCATATCTACGTATCACTGGATATTTTGCAGTTTTTACTAAATTAATAGCGCTGCAATAGATGTTTTTATGAATGGAAGCTCCCACCCCTCCTGCAGTAAAGGAAGTAGGTACGCCGAGTCTGGGGATCTGGAAATTTGTGTGGTTCTCAATAACTCAGCTTTCAGGAGGATTGTATCAGTTTGTAGAACAGTTAACCGACAGCAAATGACAACTTTCCATCCTTACAAGCTTTTTGGCTCGTGTTGCTGACTTCTGTTTTTTCACTCTGGGTTTCTTTCAGATTCTTGTCTTCTACTTTTTGAGATGTCTCCTGGCTTTTGTGAGCTGTATTTGTGAACTCTACTTTTATAAGTAAGTATCAAAACTTTGCACACTGTAGCACAGATCTCTGACAGCTCCTTCTCTCTTCTGGCGCTCTAGCTAAGGACAGCTTCTTGCCTGAAAGGTAATTGAGGAGGAGTGCTTCTAGCTCCTGTTCCCATTGGCATACCTCTGATTTTACTTCGCAGTACATGTCCCGCTAGTCTTAGCAGCATTTAGTGAACCTTATTTTTGGTTCTAAGTGAGGGACAGATTCACCTTTTCCCTAGAGCTGAGCTGATGGGAGACTGTTCCCAGTGTCAGATTCTGCTCTCGTTTGCACTCAATACACTGCCTCACACTGAGTAGCTCTCAGTTGATTGAATATTAATGAATCCATTAGGCATTGAAGTATTCTAGCAATAAAATAGCTGCCTTTTAAAAAATGTAACACATAAAAACCATTAAATTTAATAGTGCCTTAACACATTAAAAGAGGTACTCAGACTTAAAGATCATTATTAAAAGTCTTCCTATAGTTAGATGTGCCAGATTAAAATTAATTTTTGGCCTTAGCTCTGACAGGAGTAGAGGTAAAAACAAACACAGTGCTCCCTCTGGGGATTATAGCCATAAGTTGGTTTTCTTGTGGAGTTGGGCCTGAATTCAAATCACCTGTCTCATCTCCTAAGTCCCACAATGGGATTTATGGTAAATTGTCCTGGATTAGTGGAGGTTCCATGCATCATGTAAACATTTCCCTAGGGAACAGGACTCTTAACGCAGATGTCAGAAAATCACCAGGAGTAAAGTTCTGCTGCCCAAGAAAGTATGACAGTCAGGCTGGAAAATGGCTCTGTAGCGAGCTCTTGCTTCATTTGCACGGGGCTCTGGGTTCAGTTCCAGGAGGCTTGAGAAAAGAGCAAAGAAGTCAAAGTAAAGGTCCCACACACACCAGGGAAATCACAAAGAGACAAGACATTGAAGAGCGAGCAGAAATAACAGTCACCAGAAAGCTGGCCTGTGAATCTTCATTTATTAGAAATTATTAAAATGAAAACAGCATTGTATGTGGAGAAGTGAAAGAGGGAACTGAAAACATGAAGAGAAACAAGAACCTCCAGAAATTACCAGGCCAGTGTGAAAAATAGTAAGAGCGTATAGAGATGAAAATGTAATTATTTTATGTTGACTTTATATATATGCTTATATACATATATGTGTGTGTCACATCAGTACGATTTATATAACATCGATATTTAAAACTCAGAGTCTAAACAGATTAAGACTGCTAGTAAGCAAAGTAGTAAAGTGAAAGATAAATTTGAAGAAATTGCTAGGAATAAAGTATAGAGAAAAAAAGAAATATAGAGGAAGTTAACGTGTAAGGTGTCTAGATCTGATATAGAGAATTAGAAGAGGCAATCAATATTCAGGGAAGTATAGCTCACAGTTTTCCAGAGTTAGTGGGAAAGGGAGGTAATCCATAAGTTCAGTAAGGCTTGCATCTTAGTATGGGAATATAAAAAGAACTTAGTGAAATCGTGTACAGCACCAGAGATAAAGAAACTGGATGAGGAGTTACTGGAGTACCTGTAAGGGCCTGCCGAGCAGTGAGACCCTCAGAGAAGAGCCATCAACAGCAGCGGACAGGGCACCTCACAGTGTGAGAGGGCCAGGAGGGCTCAGCCAGGAGGGCTCAGCCAGGAGGGCTCAGCCAGGAGGGTAGAGCGCTTGAATACCGTGCTCGGCTCTGGGCTCCATCCCTAGCAGAACAAAACAGAATGCCGAGGCAAACGCCAGCCGTGCTAAAAGTGTGTACTGGGCTGAACTGTCTTTTAAGATCAAGAGCTAAATACAGATTTCCAATTAAAAAAGAAAAAAAGAAAAGCCAGCCAGGTGCTGGTGGCTGTGAGTTTACAGTCAGCCTTTTGTACAAAGTGAGTTCCAGGACAGCCAGGGCTATTACACAGAGAAACAAACAAACAAAAAACAAAACAAAAACCACACATGAAAAGAAAAAACAGCTACAAATTAGAGAAATTATTAATATATTCTCACTAAAAGAACTTCTAAAAGATGAATCAAAACCATTTCAGGAAGAAACAGATGAAATAAACCTGAGTGAGAACATGCCTAACACATGAAAAATACTAAAATCAATAGCAGCACTGGGTATGATGGCGCATGCCTTTAATCCCAGCACTCTGGAGGCAGAGGCAGGCAGATCTCTATGAGTTCGAGGCCAGCCTGGTCTGCAAAGGGAGTTCGAGGACAGCCAGGGCTACACAGAGAAACCCTGTCTCAAAAACAAAAAAAACAAAAAACAAACCCAAAAACCAAAAACCAAACCAAACCAAAAAACCCAAAACCAACAACAAAAAATCCCCGCTGAGTTCTATAAGTGCTGCTTGCATGCCAATGGGTGTGCAACAATTCACTAGAACACAGACCACCTACCAACTGCTACATCCCCAAGAAAAATGACTCCCTTGCCAGTAGCCATCAATACCAGTAGATCCTCAGCTGTGGGTAGGGCCTCGGAAGCCCTCCCTCGTTTATGCTAGAATGTTGACGGACTTGGTCTTGTGCCGATAGTCACCGCTGCAGTGAGTTGATGAGGGACGTGGACCTGTCACATCCAGAAGACAGGATTTCAGAGCACTCCTCTGGCTCTTACAATCTTTCCACCCCCTCCTCAGTCATGTTTCTGAACCCTGGTGCTGGTGCTTTATACAGATGTCCGTTGAGGGCTGAGCACTCAGTGGTCACTTACTCTCATCACTTGGGCAGGTTAGGGTCTCTCCATTAACATTGACCACTGTAAACTGACGCTTCTCTGCCCAAGGTTGAGTACAGCACTAATGTATGGATATAAACAAATACTTAGAAAGATTTTTTTAAATTAATGTGTAAAGATATTTTGCATGTATGTATATGTGCTTTGTATGTGCCTGGTGCCCTAAGAGGCCCAAAGAGAGTGCCAGATCCCTAGGAACTGGAGTTACAGATGGTTGTGAGCCACCATGTGGATGCTGGTAACTGAAATCTGGTCTTGTGGAAGAGCAGCCAGTGCTGGTTAACCATTGGATCATCTCTCCAGCCCCAGAAGGCAGTTGACAACATGTCCATTTAGAAAACTGAGACAGCAGCTTACCACTGCAGCCTGGGTCTGCCCAGCAGTGGGCTTTTAGTCAGGCTGCAGTTTCAGCGTGAAGTCCTCCTGTGGAGGAGGACTCAGATCCATCAGAACGCATTTGGTTACCTCTTCACAGTAGTCACTGTTGGACCTGTGGACACATCTTGCCTGGCAGGTTTGTATTATGGCATTCAGGGCTCACTGCTGGAGAAGATCACTGATGGCTTTTCTCCTTCAATTGTCTATGGTGCACCTTCCAGCACCATGAATGCTAGCCAGCAGGGAGGCCCTTCCAGGTTAGCTCTAGTTTGATTTCTTTGTCTGCAAACAAAGTGTATGGTACCTTCAGCAATAGGGTGCTATCTAGTTGTGAAAAGGGAAAAGGATCACTGGAAATAGCATGGGTTGTTTTGGGGACCTCTGGGAACTCCCTGACCAATAGCTCATAGGGAAGTGTCCCATGCCTGCTGTTGATATTTTCATTTAATAATCCATGTCATCTGGGAACAGCATTGTCTACTCATGCAAGGTACCTCTTTTGAAACCTTAAAATTTTTTTTTTTGTTTTTCAATAATGACATATTTTGATTAGCTTGCAAAGTAGTAGGCTTCCATACATCCTTAGTTTTGATTAGTCTGCCCCTCTTCTTTATCTCCCCTCCCCCATCACTGCTTAAACCTTTAACCCCTTGTATTATCGTTCTTTGCTTTTGTTTTGTTTTTCCAAACAGAGTTTCTCTGTGTGGCCATGGCTGTCCTGGAACTCACTCTGTAGACCAGGCTGGCCTCGAACTCAAGAGATTTGCCTGCTTCTGCCTCCTGAGTGCTGGGATTAAAGGTGTGCACCACTGCACAAGGCATCCCTCTCTACTTTTCTGCCATCTGTGTTGAGAACAATCTTTGCTGAACAACTTGTGCTAGGCACTTTACTAAGTACTTTCCCGGCATTAACTATCACAGACACTTTATGTAGGTGTGGTTGTTATCCTTATCTTACAGATGTGGAATCTGGCAGATAATTAGCCACTGCTGGTAAATGGCAGAGCCAGAATTTGAACCTACCTGAACCTGGGGTCTGTTATTTCTCACTATATCATACTATTTCCCTATTGATAGTAGACATAATTTTAAATATGCAGCTTTTCTTGAAGAAGAGCCTTTTTTCTGTGCCAAGAGTAAGAAGCCTGTTTCTTATGCACATGACATTCCTAACAACTTTTAAATGCATTTCCTCTTAAGGAGCTTTTCTGTGTCAGGAGTAAGAGGTTTGGGTTTCTTGTGCATATGAAATTGCTGACAAGTCTAGGCAGGTCTATATTTGACTTTAGCTCTTCATTGTTATTTCTCATACAGGCCTGCATTTCTTCTTTGCTTTGCAGTTTCTGTTGCTTAGTATCCACAATATTAATGGTCTTTATCTTTTCTTCCAGGGCTGTGTGTAAGAAATTTGGGCTGCATGTGAGTCGAATGATGCTGGCCTTCTTGGTGCTCAGCACTGGCATGTTTTGTTCATCATCAGGTAAGTAGAAGGGCAGATGAGGGGGTAGCAGCTTTACCTTCCTATACAGTTGTCTTGAAAGGAAGCACTCGTCCAACAAGGTTATATACACGAGTGCTTGGCAGGTCACTGTTGTGTGAACTGCACAGATTCATGAGTAGTGGAACTGGCAGTCTCACAGGATACTTTCTGTTCCTTCTCCTTCCTAGTGGCTCACTTCCTTTCTTGGCCCTTAGGAGGAGGAAAGTATTTTTGATTGATGGTTCTGTTTTCTGCCTGTTATTTGATGTATTCTACAGAGGTTCCATCTCTTGGGCATTTATTTTTATAGTTAGCTTCTGCACACTTAGAATAAAGGTTCTCAGTAGGACTGGTGGCTTTTCAGCTGTGCTGCCCTTGAAGACTTACATTCTGAGCTAAGGCAGCCTGCTGCAAAAGATAGGTTGTTTCTCATTTTCCAGAAAAATTATCTTGCTAAATTATCTCAATTTTAGTTTAATGCTTATATAATCAAGACTCTAGTACATACACTAAATATATACAATTGTACCTTGTCCAGAGTTGCATGGTTAGCATTTTCTTCATTGGATATATCAAAATGAATGTTCTACAGGGACCTCTGGGCTCCACCTAGACCAGCTTTGAGATCCACTGTAGTAAACGCGTCTGTTTCATCAAGATTAGCAGAGACCTCAGATATTTCTGCTCTTTCCTACTCTGCGCTGGCAGCTAGAATTGACTTCAGTATTTAGAATCTATCTGTGAAAGTCACATCTCACATGTTTTATGTTTTAGTTCCTTTGCTAATCCAGAAACAGAATTGTATGTGTGTGGAGCTTCCTGTGAGTTTTAGTTTTATAGTGTCAGTTGTGGCACTCATGAATTCAGAGTCTTTACCGTAGAGCCTTTGAAGTGGACCCTTGCTGAGTGTCTTAAATTTCACTGCCTATTCATTCTGTTCTTGTGAGAATCAACTGACTTTTCTGCTCCAGGAATCAGGCCTTATAAAGCACAAGAAGCCACATTTTTGTTTAGAGTTGTTAGGAATATCTTGCTGTTGTTACAAAGGCCTTGAGTGTGTTCAGACTATTGTATGCCATGACAAAGTTATGGCAAATGTAATAATTAAGGGGCCATGCCAAGGCCAGACTGTAGCTCTGAGCCTTGAGAAGGCTTCCTAGTGTCCCCATAGGATACAGGGTGAGCCAGGATGTCTTAGAAGCATAACAGAAGATGAGCTGAAGAAACCAATACATCATCTGCAATGGGTCTGAGTCTTGAATTATATTCCCTGAAATAAAGTTGGAAGTTCTTGGCTTTTGTAAGCTTTAAATTTAGGTGCAAGCCAGGAGAGGAGTGGATGGCTACTATTGTGTAACTTGGGGCCTTGTGTACTTGGAAAAGAGATGTGAGGAAATCAAAATCAGTGAGCTTTGTTTTTTGAAAAGGAATGTCCTCTGACTGCCCATCTCTTTCCTTCACTTCCTCCTTTTGTGTATTTCTTTCTACCCAGGGGCTCAAGGCCCAAGACAGGGCCTCTTGTGGCCTCAAACTTGCTGCACAGCTGAGGGTGCCCTTGAACTTCTGATCTTGCTTCTACCCCCTGAGGGCTGGGATTATAGGTGTGCGCCAGTATGCCCAGTTTTTTGTGGCCTAAGAATTGAACCCAGGGCTCTGTGCGTTATAGGCCAGCACTCTATCAACTGAGCCAATTCTCTAGCCTTAGTGCTTTGTTTCTCATAGTGTTTTTACAAAATCGATTCATAATATTGGCATTTTGCAGTGCAGATGAATTTTTAAAAATCAGTATCTAATCTTGGACTCTTGTTTTTCTTTTCGTTTCTGTACGCTTGTAGCATTCCTTCCTAGCAGCTTCTGCATGTACACCACACTGATCGCCATGACCGGGTGGTATATGGACAAGACACCCATTGCTGTGCTGGGAGTAGCAGCCGGGGCTATCCTAGGGTGGCCGTTTAGCGCAGCCCTTGGGTAAGAAACTTAAGTTATTCCTCTCCTGTATACCACTGGACATCTGGTCAATCCAAGTGTTGTATCCAATGCAGATTGTCCAGCCAGCAACTAAAGTAAAAGGAATCAGTTTGACTGACAGAGACTCTGGAACAAAAGCTGATTGTTCTCATTGTTTATTCATGTGATTTATTCTAACGAAAGGAATCACTACTAGGCTCCTGGTGAATGCTATGCATTGCTAGCATTCAAAAGTTTTATTTCTAAATTTTACAACACTGCAAGAAAATATAATAATTTGTATTTTTGGGGGGCCGGGGGTTGGGTAATTGAGACAGGGTTTCTCTGTGTAGCCCTGGTTGTCCTGGAACTCGATCTGTAGACCAGACTGGCCTTGAATTTACAGAGATCCTCCTGCCTTTGCCTCCTGAGAGCTGGACTCAAAGGTGTGCACCACAACCTCCCAGCAATAATTAGTATTTTATAAATGAGAATATAGACAGTAAGATTTGAGGTAATTTGCCTTTAACATTATGCTTGCTTTTTAAAATGCTTTTATTAGCATGTACTAATTATACATACTGGGTTTCACTATGACATTTTCATACAATGTGCATACAATTGTACAATGTATTCCAGCCATATCCCTCTCCAGAGTACACTCTCTTGTCCCTCTCCCTCTCCTGCTAATCCCTTTCCTCTTTCTTCTAAAGACTGCTGATGTTTTCTCACACTGCTCCATTCTTTGCTGCTATTTTCCTTGTCACCCAGGATTGAAATGTTTCCTTTTGTCCTTCTCTTTTCTTAAAAAAAAAATATATATATATATATATTTATATTATAATAATTATAATAATATATTATATATATTAATATATATATGTGTGTGCAAGGAGTGCATGTATGTCTGTGTACCCCATGTATGCAGTATTCCTGCAGGCTAGAAAAGGGCATCAGATCCCCTGGGATGGAGCTGCCAGGTGGGTCCTCTGGAAGAGCAGCCCATGCTCTTCATCGCTAGGACGTTCCTCCTGCAGCTCATGCTCTTCATCACTAGGGCGTTCCTCCTGCAGCGCATGCTCTTCATCACTAGGGCGTTCCTCCTGCAGCGCATGCTCTTCTTCATCGCTAGGGCGTTTCTCCTGCCCCCCTTCCCCTTTCTTGCTCCAGTGCCTTCCCTGACTTTGTGTCTCCACTTCCTTCCCTACTCTTCGTTTCCACACTTCTTTCCTGGTTTGTGCCGCCTTAACTTCCTGACTGGACCAGAGAAATGGTTCAGTGATTAAGAGCACATACTGCTCTTGCAGAGAACCTGACTTTGGTTCCCAGCATCCGTGATGGGTGGCTCCCAACTGCCTGTAACTGCAGTTCCAGGGAATCAGGTACCCTCTTCTGGACTTTGCAGGCATCAGCACTCACGTATACAAATGTATGTTATACACATAACTAAAAAATAAATCTTAATAGTTGTTATGAATGTTATTTTAAATATAGTATTCCATATTTTTAAAAGTACTTATAGGGTATAGCTTAGTAGTAAAATGTTTGCCTAGAATGTATAGGACCTCACCACAGCAACAGATAAACAAAGAGCAGATTTAATGTGGTAAAAAGGATTTTTGGAGACTCAGGAGATAATTTAGTAAAGGGCTTGCCATGCAAGCCTGAGGACTCAGGTTTGATCCCCAGCACACACTTAAGGCAAGTGTGGTGCTTCTGAAATGCCAGGGCTGGGGTGGAGACTGAGGAGTCTCTAGAGCTCGCTGGCCAGCTAGCCTTGATGAACTGATAAGCTCTAGGTCAGTGGTTGACTCTCTCTCTCTCAAAATGCAGTGGAGAGCCACTGAGGGAGAGTTGGCTCAGCAGGAAAGACACTTACATACAAATCTGGAGACCTGACTTTAATTACTGGAATCCACATAACCGGAGGGAACGGAACTGACTCCTCAAAGTCATTCCTAACCTCCACATGCGCCATGGCACCTGCAGACTCCCACACACATGAGAATTTATTTATTTACATGTAAAAGTATATAATAAAATCCTCGTTAATTTCAGAAGGGAGAGGTTGGTGCTTGTTGGGTAGGTGTAGGATAACAGTGTACGTGAATTTACAGTGAATATGTCTTACATGCACAGTACATATAGATCAGTGTCAAGATGGTCCAGCAGCATAGTGTCTGTTTCCTGTCCGTCTGTGGCAAATCTCTCTTGATGGGTCCTTGGAAAGACCAGCTTATTTTTGAGAAGACATCTTGTCACATACCAGCTTCCTTTCTTCTGTGCACCTGGGAGAGCTGCTTGGTTCTCTGCTCAGCACGGGCGTCTTCGCTCTGTCCTAAGTCTTTATTGCTTCACTAACGCCTTGCTGTGTTTCTCTGTTGAATAGTTTACCCATCGCCTTTGACTCGCTGGCCCTGAAAAACAGGTGGAAGAGTTTCTTCCATTGGTCGCTGGTGGCCCTAATTCTCTTCCTGGTGAGTTTCCTTTTCTCTTGTTTTACTCTCATGGTCTAAGTAGTTTCTGATTTGGGAAGGAAACATCAGGAATTCATTTTATTTTTCATTCTGAAGTCCTTCCATTAGCATTTTGAAAACTACATCTGCTGTTTTTTCTTTTACTTTAGGTACCCGTGGTGGTCATTGACAGCTACTATTATGGGAAGTTGGTGATTGCTCCTCTCAACATTGTTCTGTATAATGTCTTTACTTCTCATGGGCCTGATCTTTATGGTAAGGCTTTGGAAAATTTCAGGAAAAAGTGGAAAACAGCTTAATTTACCTCACAATTCGAATCCAGTTTTCTCATTTCATCAAGACATCCCTCCCTCCCCGTCCTTCCCTGTGTGCTCCAGGTGTAGTCCAGGTTGGCCTTGAACTGCTGATCTGCTTGCTACATTCTAGTACTGGGATAACAGCATGCCCTGACCAAATGTGGCACTTTGTGCTGTGTCCTTTTCTGCTGAACACAGAGCTCTTGACTATAGTGCAGTGATAACATAGCCCCTGCGTCTCTTTGACTGGTGTGGCAGTCAGCACTGACCCTCCGTGCTGCTGAGCATTATCCCTAGATCCAGACCTAAAGAGCTTTAAGGAGTGCTGGCTATGCGTGGTGTCACGTGGTAGCCAAAACTAGCCTCAAACTTGTAGCAAACCTACCGACTCAACCTCCCAAGTGACAGAACTACAGAGTTGACCATCCAGCCTGTCTTATGCTATGGTTTTGATGCCTTTAAAATTTTTTAGATGGATGGTGGTGGCGCACGCCTTTAATCCCAGCACCCGGGAGGCAGAGCCAGGCGCATCTCTGTGAGTTTGAGGCCAGCCTGGTCTACATACACAGAGAACAACAAAAACAAACTTTTTAAAATCATAAACGACTTTTGAGGTGGAGGTGGTGGTGGTGGTGGTGGTGGTGGTGGTGGTGGTGGTAGCAGCAGTGCAAGGCTAGCTACATGGCAAGTTTGAGGCCAGCTTGGGCGCCATGAGACTCCAGTCTTAAGAAACAGCTGGCTGTGGTGGTACGCACCTTTAATCCCAGCACTCGGGAGACAGAGGCAGGTGGATCTTTGTGAATTCAAGGCCAGTCTGGGCTACAAAGTGAGTTCCAGGACAGCCAGGGCTGTGGTTTTTATACAGAGAAACTACATCTCAAAAACAAAAACAAGTACAAACCAACAACAAAAACCAAACTTCTTTGTATTATCAGAAAATGAATATAATAACAAAAAGAAAATAAATACATAGCCCCATCATCTCCATGTAATACTATTAACTTTCAGGAGTATATTCCTACATATGTTTCCTATACATACACACACATTTGATGTTAGTTTTTTTTTTTGAGACAGGGTTTCTCTGTGTAGTTTTGGAGCCTGTCCTGGATATTGCTCTGTAGACCAAGCTGGCCTCGAACTCACAGAGATCCACCTGCCTCTGCCTCCCAAGTGCTGGGATTAAAGGCG